GTTGCGATCCGTTGCCGGACACGGAAAAAGACAAAAAGACAAAAAAAAAAAAAAAAAAAAATTTTAATTAAAATGTTATAGAGAAAGTAAAAAGACTATCAATTGAAAAGACTAGTAGCAATGCCAATATCAGATAAGTAGTACATACCAAGAGCTCTTATTAAACTTATAAGATAAAGACTAACAAATTCAAATAAGAGAAATCCAAATGAGAAACAAATAAAAAGAGTTTACTTCACTAGCAGTCAGGAAAATGCAATCTTAAAATATTAAGCAGATATTATAAAACATGTACCAAAATGATAAAAGCTTAAAAGAGTGACAGCTAGCAAGGGTTATTTGGGGATGTGTAATCAGTATTTTCATACTTTGATGATAGACACTGATAGAGTTTGGATGTACTGTCCTCCCCAAACTCATGTGGAAACCTGATCTCCAATGTGGCAGTGCTGGAAGCTGTTTGGATGACAGGGGTGGATCCCTCATGAATAGATTAATGCTTTCCCTGGGGGCTGGAGGTAGTGAATGAGTATTTGCTCTATTAGTTCTCATGAGAGCTGGTTGTTTAAAAGACCCTGGCACCTCCCACCTCTCTCTCTTGTTTCCTCTCACCATGTGATCTGCTTGTACCCGCCAGCTGCCTGTCACTTTCCACCATTAGTAGAAGCAGCCTGAGGCCCATGCCAGATGCAGCTGTCCCAGAATTGTGAGCCAAATAAACCTCTGTTCTTTATAAATTACCCAGTCTCAGGTATTCTGTTATAGCAACGCAAATGGAATAATACAGATCCCTAAATTGCTCAGTTTTTATGATATGAAATCTGGCAACATCCATTAAAAATATGTAGTCCCCTTTACCCAGAAATTCCATCCTGGGGAATCTATTCTCTACATAAGGATACAGAAACAAAAATATTTATTGCAACTTTGTTTTTAGTAGCAAAAAACAAAATAGGGAATGACTATTAACAGGAAAATGATTGGGATATAACCCTTCCATGGAAAACTATGCAGTCATTAGATAGAATAAGTTAGCTCTATGCCAGTTGACTAAAAAGGATTCTACAATATGTATTTTTATTTATTTATTTTTTCCCTTTTTGTCTTTTTTTTTACTGACTGGTAACGGGATCGCAACCCTCGGTGTCGCGCCCGTACCAGGGACCGGCAATGGGGTCGCAACCCTCGGTGTTGCGCCCGCACCATGCTCAGCCAGTGAGCGGGAACTGGTCTCCACGTGGGATCCAAACCCTCGGCGGGAGCGCCGCCGCGCTCCCAAGCGGCGCACTCTCCAGTGCGCCACTGGGCCAGCCCTACAATATGTATTTTTAGAGGGGAAAAAGTAAGATGCAGAGAAGTATATAAAATAGAATTCTATTTTTTTAGGGGCCAGACTGGTGGCGCACTGCTACAGTGCGCCGCTTGGGAGCATGGCGGCGCTCCCGCTGAGGGTTCGGATCCCACATACACACTGGTTCCCGCTCACTGGCTGGGCGAGGTGCGGGCGCAATGCTGAGGGTTGCGATCCCGTTGCCGGTCCCGGTCCGGTACGGGCGCGACACTGAGGGTTGCGATCCGTTGCCGGTCACGAAAAAAGACAAAAAGGAAAAAAAAAATCATAAATCTTTGAGCACAGGAACTACGAGGCATGAATGATAAACATGTATATAACTTCCTACCTGTCTTTTCTCTTCCTATTTAAAAACAGAGCAAAGTGATTGGGTAAAGTTTTATGTGCTGCCCTCGCAGGTCACTTAAAATAAACTCTTTCGGCTCTCAGAAGTGGCTTCCGTTCAGACCCTCCTGCCAAGCTTTCCGTCGCGTGTGGCGTCCTTGAGGTGGTTCACACGAATTAGACCTGAGTCTAGTGATGCCGGGAGAACTGGAGCTTCTGGTCCAGTCTCCAAGTTTAGTAAAATTTGTTTTTTTAGTTAAATTGTATTGAAGATCTAGTTCAATGCTATTGTTATGTGGCTTTTTTGAAAAGTGTCTGTCAAAAAAAAGAATAAAAAATTCTACACATCTTATATGCACATGTATTTTACATACGGTTACACGAGCATGTAGAAAGATATGGAAGCATACCTATATAACCGTCACATTGTTTAGGAGGGAAAGGTGGATACAGATAAGAAGGAGAAGATGAGGAACTTTGATGGTATCGCTCCATGTTGACTAATTTTTATTGCTCTACATACAGTTCTTACAATCTGGAATAATTGATTACTGCGATGCTAGCAGACTGGATAAACTAATTGAAACAGACCACTACTGTGAAAACAGTGAGAAGTCGTAGTTTGTGGATCCACTCACTGCCAAGCTTCAACTGGGAAGGCTGGAATCTGAGAAAAGCAGCAGTTGGAAGCAGGATAAGTGACTAACATGCTCAGAAAAAAATATGTAAGAATGCAGTTCCAAGAAGAGTTAAAGATAAAATTCACAGGTGACAATTATTTACCAAAAGTGGCTGAAGAGGTGGTGAGTAGGAGAGGAAGATTTCAAATGTAAGAGTGAAGTATTAGGGGATATTGCAGGCCAAGAATGTGTAAAGACTTAGAATCAGGTTTTCACAGTGAGAATCATGTAAATGGAAGATGGATGTGGAGCTCAGAGAAGTAAATGTGCTGACAAAGCAGTACAGTTGGGGTGGACACTCATGGACTCTTCCTTCTGTATGGCACTTCCAAATCCTCCCTATTAAAAGGTCTGGGCAGTTTCTGGTGCCTGTAAAAAGAGAAGAAAGAGAAAAACTAAAAAGATAATAAGTACAAGATTTAAAAATACAGAATTCAGGTGTTCTTAAGAAAAATATGCTACTAAATACCTTAACTTAAAATAATCATGTCAGTATTAACACTAATACTAATACTACTAAGATTAGTTCAGCTCTACTGAGTTCTAAGTGTCATGTAAATATACTAAGTACTTCAAATGTATTATCTCTTTTAAGCTTCACAACAACTTGTGAAGTAGGTACCATTATCTCCATTTTACAGAAAATGAAACTCTTACAGAGGTTAAATAACTTTCTTAAAGTACAATAACATATTTATAATGATGGCCCAGAGTCATCTGTAAATGTTAATTTGTTCAGCATCTTGTATTTCGAAAGTCAGGGATACACACTATCTTCCAAATGTTTTCATCAAAAAAAGTTTTCATCCAAATGAAAGTTGGATTTCCAGAGTGACCCATTCTTCAAGGATTCTAAATAGCTGAATCTTTCACTGTATTATGTAGCTTCTTACTAGATTTCACTAATTGGAGCTCTACAAATTGATTGAAATAAAATTTTTAGGAAATGCTGTAAAATATATTAGTTGTAAATTTTGAGCACTACATAAATTCTATCTACCGCATTTCCTTGTGAACTTCAATTTTAAAAAGCCTCTTTAATGTTTTTGGCAGGATTTTTTTCTAAATAATACTTCAATACGGACTTTTTCTTGGCGATCCATGTCATTTCCTGGAAGCTCCCACTGAGTATACACTTACTATGTAAACATAAAACTTGATTCCCTTAGTAAAAGCATCAACTGTTTGTAAATGCCAATAGGCTTTATGAACAGTTTGCAGCCTGTGAGTAAAGTCATCCCTTTTTTCCCCATATTTTCTCTAGTGCTTTGTAGTATGGGCCACAGAACCTTTAGTAAGGCTATTTAAGAATTCTTGGCTTTAAGATTCCCTCCTCCCCCTGACCTTTTGACTAAACATTCCTTTGTTTTCCTAGAGTAAAGAGTCTGATTTAAAAACTAGCCATCTTACCTGATCACATTTCCTCCAATATGTCAACTTAGCCATAACTGCTTTGAACATCTAACCTTTCCTTAACCCCCATCACGTTCATATAACTACACATAACAATGTATACAGTTCCTTTTCATTTATCAAAAGAAAGAATCCTTGGGGAATAAAGATTTGACAGCTTCTGTTACAAGATAATTGTAATACTTAAAAAAAAAGAGAGAAAGAGAGATGAGACAGATGGTGTACACTGGAGACATGTGGAAATTTGCTTGAAAAATAGCTTCAGAAATTCAATTGAGACTGAAAAGAAATTATGCAAACCATCATTTTTGCATAAAAGCTTCATGGAAAATAAGGAAATTATCTTAATCTTTAGTCTTCCACAATCTTGTTAAGGAGAAAGAATGTCAACTGGACTGATACCGTCTTGGGTTCCTATTTTTTTTTTTTTTTTTTTAAAGATGACCGGTAAGGGGATCTTAACCCTTGACTTGGTGTTGTCAGCACCACGCTCAGCCAGTGAGCGAACCGGCCATCCCTATATGGGATCCGAACCCGGGGCCTTGGTGTTATCAGCACCGCACTCGCCCGAGTGAGCCACGGGCCGGCCCTTGGGTTCCTATTTTTTTTTTTTTTTTTAAAGATGACCGGTAAGGGGATCTTAACCCTTGACTTGGTGTTGTCAGCACCACGCTCAGCCAGTGAGCGAACCGGCCATCCCTATATGGGATCCGAACCCGGGGCCTTGGTGTTATCAGCACCGCACTCTCCCGAGTGAGCCACGGGCCGGCCCTTGGGTTCCTATTTTTAAAAAATAGCCACTTATTTGAATTACAGGGAATAGAGATTATTTTGAGTGAGATTATTAAAAACATTATTTTTTATATTGCTACACTTAGGCTGAATACAGTAATATCAACCATTACTACATTTTTTGATGAGTTACTCAGTGCTTTTATTACATATTATGTATTTTACATGGGAAATGCTTTATAATAAATTTATTAGATATTTCATCAGATTAATTTTTACAGCATAAAGAGATAATGAAAATTTAATTTTAAAAATTGTGTTTTGGTTCACATCTGAGTAACAGCACTAAAAAAAAACTGTGTTTATTACTTTATCATTTAATTCTATTTTCCATAAAAACTTTTTTTGGCCACTGACTGGTAAGGGGAGCGGAACCCATGACGTTGGCGTTATAACATGGTGCTCCAACCAGTTGAGCTAACCAGCCAGCCCTGTGTTTACTACTTTAAAAAAGGATTTTCAATTTGCCCTTTTAAATTTGTTATGCTTGACTTGATTCACACATTACACAAAATTTTAAAAAAGAAAAAGAAATCATGTATAAGAAGCTATGAGGACAGAAATTGTAAGAAATAAGTGAAGGTTCTGGTGAAAATGTTTTGATAAAATCTTTTGAGGGGAATGAGAGACAGAAAAACAGTAAGGAAAATGATTTCAGTGAAAGGAGGAAAATCATTTAATGAATTCAGGCAAGTTTTCAGAAAAACAAAGCTGAAATGTGGTATGACCAATACCTGGTGTGACGATAAGTATGCTTTCATCAACATGAATAAACATACATTATATTTAAGAGTGAGAAAGAAGATGAGTTATGTATACACAAAAGAGAATATGATGGGATCATTTCTACTCATTATGGAATCACAGAATATAGGCTTGTATTTGAGTATACATGTGAGTTAAGGTAGATAAACTGATAAGGCCAACATCTTTTGCCCAATACTGTAATGAAGAAAGAAACCTGGGTCACAATTTCTGAGTCTCTAGAGAATTCATGCACATGTTTTCCTTGGTGTAATTTTAGGCTAGCCTATTTAAATGCATTAGAAAGGTCTACCTTTAGGGGGCCGGCCTGTGGCTCACTTGGGAGAGTGTGGTGCTGATAACACCAAGGCCACGGGTTCGGATCCCATATAGGGATGGCCGGTTGGCTCACTGGGTGAGCGTGGTGCTGACAACACCAAGTCAAGGGTTAAGATCCCCTTACCGGTCATCTTTTAAGAAAAAAAAAAAAAAAGGTAGACCCTTTATCTTTAAGTTTGACGAGAAAGAAAGAAGTCTGAAAATTGATAAACAATCTTTAATATACAAAGATGAGTTACCAAGAAAGATTATGAACTTTCATTTCCTGAAGTTGGGTAGATAAAGCGATTGGATATTTATCTACTCTTTCTCTAATAGTTTGGGTTAGATACAGTTTGCTTGGAAGCAAAAAGACCACACTTAAAGGTTAAACTTTTAAAATGATAATGGAAGTGCTGACTGGTTAGCTCAGTTTGTTAGAACGCGGTGTTATAATACCAAGGTCGAGGGCTTGGATCCTCATACTGGCCAGTTGTCCACCCCCCGACCCCCGCAAAATAATGGAATTTGAGAAGAGAAAATGTTTCCAATAGAAAGGATGAAATCCTATTATCTTTTTCCTCATATAGGTTAAATTTATCTTTGAATATCGGATCAGAAATATCGAAATTTAACAGTATTAAGCAAAAAGACCTTCTGAGGCTTGAAGTGGGTGATGCCTGCCCACATTTGGGGTCCTGGGGTGAGTTGGAGTCAGCCATGTGTGTTTCTTTGGACAGGCTAATATTCTGGCTCCCTTTTAAAACTGATACCCTTAAAAATCTGTCTAACATTTATGAAGAGGAGAGGCTGAGCACTACATGGTGGGGTGGCCAGGGAAGAGGGAGGCAGACTGGAATGAATAGAGGTGGCGACACTCAATTGCTCTCTTATTTTTCCTAGCAAACCAGCTCTGGTTCCAAGATTCAATATCCTTCACAAAACCAAAGCCCCATGTGTCTATGATAGCTTAGCTTCCCTGGTCAATGCATGGGCCACTTCCCTTCGTGCCTCTGGGCAAATGTAGGTTAGTGTTTCTCAAATTCTGGTCCCAGAAGCATTTACATTAGAATCACCTGATTCTTGAACTCAGACTAGACCTCTAAATCAGACTTTCTAGGGAAGAGGCTAGGGCATCTGCATTTTAAATGAGTTTTGCAGGTGATTCTGATTGTATTAAACCTCAAGAACCATCCCCTAAAGATTGGATTAGAATTAGTGAAGTTTGGGGAACTCTAGCTCTCCCCAGGAATTCTGCTGTCAAACACAGCCCCTCAAATGTTCAGACATGTTTCAAGAAGGCTGGAGGAAGATGCAGTTCAGTTACCTCCCACTCATCAGTCTAACTTTCTCCCTAGCATCCTTTCTGATTAAACTGAAATCCTTGGAGAGTGCCTATAAATACTCCATCTGCTCAGATTTCTTGCGAGACAGTGGAGTTTGCACCACCTTCCCACTACTGCAGACCAAAATAGCCTCTCTGGGCTTGCCTGACTCTAAGAGCTGTTTCTTGACAACTATGGTGCTTCATGACCACTTGACTTTGTATAAGGGGATTCCATTGTCCTTAGGTGTTATTTATACAATGAAGATGGAAATAAACGTTTGATGCTGGAAAAAGCCTTATACACAATACAATCCACTACCTAATTATATGGCGACAGATGCAGACAGACAAGTAGAAAAGGCAGGAAGCAAGCATTTTATTGAGTCCCTACTATGTACAAGAGAGGTGCTGCGCTAGATTTTTCAGCAAGAGTTTTGTTATTAGTTTTTTAAAAACAAACTTTCAAAGTAGGTAATATTGTATCCATTTGTATAGATAAGGAAGTTGAAACTCCAAAAATTAAAGAAACTTGCAAAGTCATTCAGTTAATAGGTACAATGGATCCAGGATTAAATCTGGGTTATAATAAAAATAATACCTTCATTTTTTAATCACTTTCTATGTGTTGGGCATATTTTTAAGCATTTTATTTATTTTATTTTTTTATTTTTTATTTTTTTTGTCTTTTGTCGTGACCAGCAACGGATCGCAACCCTCAGTGTTGCACCCGTACCGGACCGGGACCGGCCACGGGATCGCAACCCTCGGTGTTGCCCCCGCTCCTCGCTCAGCCAGTGAGCGGCCGGTCTGTATGTGGGATCCGAACCCTCGGCGGGAGCGCCACCGCGCTTCCTAAGCGGCGCACTATAGCAGTGCGCCACAGGGCTGGCCCCTAAGCATTTTATTTTTATTAACTTTGGTAAAATCACCACAAAACCCCTGAGGCACATAGTATTATTATGCCCATTTATAGGAGAAACTCAGGCACAGAAGATTAGAAACTTGCCCAAGTTCACCCACTTAGTAGGTGGTGAAGCTTTGACTCCAAAGCTCTCTCCAGAATCAAGTACCCTGGAGAGACTGGAAGCAGGGAAAGTAATTATTCTCCAGGTAGGAGATAACCTGGTGTATTAGTTCATTTCTGTTGCTTATAACAGAATCTCCGAAACTGGGTAATTTATACAGAAATAGAATTTATTTCTTACAGTTTGGGAGGTTGGGAAATCCATGGTCCAGGGGGCGCAGCTGGTGAGGGCCTTCTTCTGGGTGGTGACTCTTTACAGAGTTGCGGGGTGTCACCTAGTGAGAATGGCCTGGATAAGAGAGTTAACCTTCTCGGTCACACTTCTTATAAAGCCATCAGAACCACCCCCATTACTCCATGAATGGATAATCCATCCATGAGGGCACAGTCCTCACAATCTAATCACCTCTTGAAGGTCCCACCTTTCAAATACCATAATCAGATTTCCCACCCTCTTAGTACTGTTACAATGGTGGGGGGGTCAAGCTTCAGTGAGTTTTGAGGGGACATGCAATCCACAGCACCAGGCCTGAAATAAAGATTGGGAAGAAAGGAGAGATTTAAGAAGCACTTCTGATGATCTCTGGATCATCTACCTGGATGAAAGGTGGGATGGGGAGAGATCGGGGGAGAAGGTGGAAGGGTTGAAGATAACTACATTTTCTTGCTTGTTTGGGGAACAAAATAGATGGTAATACCATTAATTAAGCCTAGAATGAAGATAAACTGGCACTGCACTCATGTTCTGTGTTACAGAGCTGGCATTTAGCTGTATCTCCAGCTTAACTGTGAAAGAGGAATATAATGTGTCCTCATCTTCTACATAAAACTTATTGACTGATATATTATAACAAAGACTATCAATGGAACTTAGAACACTGCCTACCTGATACCCTCTCTGTAGGGCAGTGAAGTATTAAGGATGCATGTAGCTTTAGGATTGCAATGAATATAACTGCACACTTGATTAAGTCTTTATTGAGAATTATTCACTGGCACCTTCCATGTATTGGCTGTCAAGGATACAATGGTGAAGAAGACAGATCCAGTCCCTGCCTTCAGGGAGGTTATATTCAGGTAAAGGAGATAGGCAATAAATAAGGCATCAAAAAATTCCTGAAAAGTTCTGTAACAAAGATAAATGGGATGTCATGGTACAGCATTATGAGCACAGGGTCCAGGTGACATAGAATCTTGTAAGACACGGAAAATGTTCAGTTTTTATTCCAAATGTCATGAGAAGAAATTGAGTTTTGAACAAGGGGAAAACATGGTATGCATTTTTTTGTGTGGCTCACTTTGAGTGTCACTACATTCAGGGCAAGGTTACGGGGACAAGAGTGGAAGCAGAAAGGCTGGTTAAGAGGGCCAGAAGCAAGGGTGATGGTAGCTTAAACAAAGGTACAATGGAGGTAAAAGAATGTGGGTAGAAATTTAAGTATACTCTGGGAGAAGCTAGTAGACTTGATGGAGAGGGATGGAGAGAAAAAGGGAAATATCACAGATGACCCCTAGGTTTCTAGTTTGAACAACTGGATCAACAGTGCTGTTGTTTAACAGTATCATGGCAAATGGAGGAGGAACAGTTCTGAAGGAAATGATAAACAGACACTGTGCATTTCTAAGCACACTGTACACGTGTAAGCATTTGGTACTATGCATGTGTGAGCATACTACCAAAGCTTACAGAGTGCTCTGGACTGGGATTCTAAAAGCCTGATTTCTGTCACCACTAAGAAAAATAACTTCTCTGCACCTTGTTTTTTCCCATCTTTAATTTGGGAAAAAAATCTGACAGATATGATTGTATCTGTCTTTACTGCTTCAGAGAAATCCTGAGAAGATAAATGAAATATATATAAAAGTACTTTGAAGTCTTGGGAAGATAAGAACTGCATAAATCCATGCTATCATTTTTATGTCACAGGGTGCGTTTATATTTTTCAAATACCCCAGGTCACAGGGGTCATAAACTAACAAGCTTACGTTCTTTCTTTCATGTTCAGTTCCCAGAAATAAAAAGATGAACATGCTTCTCTATCCCCACTGTCCCCTCCGCTATAGTAATCTCTTGACAGGATTTTGCAATTACTAGTATTGTCCCAAACTCTTTAGACCCTGGGAAGAAAAAAACTTTACCCAATATACCTTTGCCTGGGTGATTCTTGGCAGATAATGATAATGATGGTATCTTACTTTAATAGAGATGTGCAGATTCCCAAGAACCAGCACATTGTCTCATCTAATCAGCCAACAACACTTTAAGAATAGTATTATTTTCCGCCATTTGACAGACTCAAGAGGTTTAAGTAACTTGCCTAAGGCTTCGTTTCACAGCTAGAGCAACTAAAGCTAATAGAAGAGTTGTGTTCTAAAAAAATAGAGTGAACATTTAGAGGGGGAAAGGGGAGCAGGGAGATTGGATAATGGGCATAAAGAACAAGTGCGATTTGTAACAATGAATATGCTAATAAAAAATAAATTTAAAAATATATATAGTGAACATGTACCAGTGGCATTCAAAGAACTGCAGCCATATCCCAGATAATATTCATAGGATGTGTGTGCTGGCTTCTTTGATCACTGCAGTCTTGGGACACATTGTCTTCAGTTCTTTGAAAACAGTATGACTACTGATTTTCTTGCCCTGCATTTCAAGAGATGCACTATTTCACCTGTGACCTTGTGTGCTGCTCTCTCTAAAAACAAACAAACCAAAATAAGAACAAAACAAAACAAAAATTGTCCTTTGCTCTCCACGGTAATTACAATATTAACAGTTTCTTCTTTCTCTTGGGAAGAGACATGCTGTGCTCAGTTTTGCCTGAGGTGGGGATATGATGATATGCAAAAGAGAGGGCCTTGGAATAGTGGAAAGAAAACTGGACTTGGAATCCAGAACGCTGGGATTGAGTTCTGGTTCAACATTGCTTATTGAGTTACCTGGGGAAGGCACTTAACCTATTTGAGCTTCAGTTTTAAGAACTGTCAACAGGATGTAATAATCTTTATCTGTTTACTGACTATAATCTTTCAGTCAGCCTCACCTTCATCTGCACAGTTCCAGATGCAGAACTACACGGGCTAAGTAGTCACTTTCTGAATGCCTTGTGTGCAATAATTGGATTATAATTCTCCCTCTAATTCAATCCTTCCCTTGTCTTTCTCAGCTCAAATGCATGTGTATTTGCTCACGTCTAATGGATGGGGAAGTGGGCTATTATTTTTGGTGTTCATCAAGTTTGACTCTCAGCACATTAATCTATTTAGAACGAAGCAGAGGAAGGATGGCATAGAGGGTTGCTGTGAGAATTGAATTAATGCATGTAAAATGTTAGCACAGTGCCTGGCTTACAGTGAGTGATCACTGTTAGTTGTTATCATTTTTTTCTTACTGAGGTGATCCTCATTTGTCTTGAATGGTTTAGCTGTGGCCCTGGCTGGAGACTAGAGGATAATCTGAGACTCCTCTTCAAGTTGTCAGCCTGGTTGATGGCTGGGCAAGGATTTCTTACATAATCTCTATAACCCTTTCTCTTTATTTCCGCCTAGTTTCTGCTCACTTTTGAGGAAGGGTATTTGGGATAACTTTTTATAAGCTGATGGTAAATGCAAATAAAACAATGACAACTTAGAGATCAATGACAAAATTTTGACTTGTTTCAGATTGAGTCTGAAAAACAAACTTCAAAACCTATGGACAACATGTTTTTCAAGACTGTATTTTAGAGTTTACAGGGGTGTGCCCGGGGCAACCAAAACAAAGATTACAGTGATGATGATGGCTGCCTCCCAGGCCCAGATAAAAGAGGCGCCTCTCCGCTGGCTTTATGGTGCCAGCCCACCTGAGGTCACACTTTGAAGAGCCTCCCAAGGCTGGGTTTGAAGCCCACACTACTGTTTTCCTAGTCTTCCTCCTTTCTCATTTGGAATTTTTGGGTCAGCAATCCTCCAAGCTTGGTCGGATTTGCGTCCCGAGGCGATGGCTTCGGTGTGGGCAGATCGGGGAGCAGTGCTGGGCGGTGGCGGCGGCGGGTGGACAGCTGTCCTGGGACTGTCCCCCATCGACTCAACGTGCCTCTCTCACATCTAAGGGGTCTTAATGTACCAAGTAAGTGTCCAGGGCGAACAGACGCAAAGCGAAGCGCGACCGGTTCCCGCCGGGGCTGCTCCCGCCCTTTCCCCGGACCCGGCCCCTCCCGCGCCGCGGCCGCTCC